AGAAAACTAATAATAATATGCTTTGATGAGATTTGGCCTCTTGAAAATGAAATGCCGGTAATGGCATGCACACAATACACCGGATTTGAATTAGAGATAATGTGTGTCTCAAACATTGTGAATGCTGAATATGGAATATGGCAGAGTGAAATCAGTGGAAAATTAACTATAAAATGTTGTTCAATGCCAGTTGGTGGTAAGGCATTAAACAGCATGTGTTAATTGTGATGGTTTTTTAATTTGAATACCAAATGCTCTGGGTGGCGTCCAACCTCAATGCATATTACAATGTGATTACATTTTATCAATTGAATGAGAAATGTGGGGGCTCATCTTTGACAACATCATGAAAACAAACATACAAATCATTACATCCATTCAGTATGAAAATTCGCTACAGTTGTTACTGTCGTCATTATTATGGATAAAGTAATTTTATTAGATAAATGTCTCTGTCATATTGCATTCAAGATTTTATGATCAAAGTTTTAGTATACGCATAAAAGAACGGCGAACGAATAAAAATTGAACTTTATGTGTGGCCACATGACTTTCACTCAGCAGGAAATTCTTTCATCTTAATATTAATCACCTTCAAATCTGACTGTAATCTTATCAAGATTTCTGGAAAAAAGAGAACACAAACTTTTTTCTCCTTCTTATTCTTCTTCGGCGAACGTGACCGAGATTTTCTGAATTCATTTTACATCCGCCTTGGACAATAATACTTTTTATATCCCAGTCTCAAACGAGAGTTGAACTTTAAATCAGTGTTGAATTTCGGCCAAAAAGTATATATGATATAATCGACTTACTGGGAATTACATGGAATTAAGCAATTAATTCTTAAAATCCTATCGAAAAATTCATTCGAAAACACTGAGCTTATGTGATGAAGAATGTGAATATCGTTAAACATGATTTCATTGTTTGTAAATAGGTTTTATGAGCAATGCGCACTGCATATTCCCTTTATAAATCATTTTAATGAGAGTAATAAGGCTTTGAAAGATTTAAAAAAAAACTACGTTATGGATTTGAATTTGGGATTCATTGAATAAATTTCCATGTCTGAACGCCAATAAATTGGATATTTCTGTCGAAAATTTAATAATTATTTTTTATGCATTCCAAAAATGTCATCCACTATGAAGAAGTGTCAGTATTAATTAATTAGAAATGCTGGAATAAATCATAAGAATTCATCTCGAAGAATGGCTTATCTATCGCTATGTAGTTAGAACGATCTGAAGTTCCACAAACCTCTAATATACATGCATGTCTGAGTGCTAGCTAAATCTCATTCAATTTTGGAATGTTTGCATTTGCGATTCAGATGAGCAATATAATCATCATCGTTATTATAAGTCGCATTTTGGCATTATAGAATTTGATGGTTTGTGTGTCGCGTGTGCTTATCGAAATTGATGATGATGAGAGACCATAAAATTTGCAAGCAAATGAATGGCAAGTCAGAAATAATCGAAGCGAAAACTAATATAAATTAACCCAAAATGAAATATCTGTTGTTGCTCAATTCAGCCGCATATTGATTTCTTCGATTTGTTTATTATAGATAGCTGATTAGGAAATCGTTGATATATTTAGCTGAGTAGTCAAGGCAAATAACAGGTGCATTGGGTCCACATAAAATACAGACATACACATGGTTATTTATTGAAACCAAGCACTTGGTTTGCATTTCGATTTCATAATTCATAGATGTGTCTTTCACTCTCGCTCTCTCTGTCTCTCTCGCTCACCAACCGACATGGCCACCAATTGTGCACATCACTCAAAAAGCGCCGTTAGCCATACGAATAAAATATTTGGATTTATGCTATTTGCTTCTTCACCATACGAAAATGAGATTCAATAGATTCCGTATGCAAATAGTTTCATGCTCGAATATGTATTTTCTGGAAGTTTCGCCAGTTTCGATGCAAAGATTGAATTGATATCGGCCAATATATCTTCGCATCGCCCACAAAAATGATCATTTGAGGCACCATTTCGGCCATTTGGTTTTAATAAAAGTTTCCCAAAGTGAGATATTGATTTATATACGTGCATTTAGTGGGAATAATCATGGTTGAAGAAGTTGTGTGCCTCACAGCACCACAGAAACTGCTCAAAGTATGTTGGCCGGTTGAGGCAACGAGATGGTGCTTGATTTATCGTAAATTGGCAAAGTTTTCGCAATAATGAATGCCATCCATCTGAATTATTATTATGCAGGCCGTCTCTAGTGGTATCGAATATGGGTATGTGTGTGTGTGAAAATCTTCACTCGACTACCTGTGATTTCATCGACGGTGTCGTCTCGTTGTTGTTTTCGCCATCAAACCATCATCATCGTCATCACCACCAATCCAACTCATTGCAAACCGAATTGTCGAAGGAATAGTATTAGAAATTGTGATGTCCCAATACGATTTCGATTTTACGTGCATTTGTATCGTTGAATTGACTACGATTGAATCTAAACGAATGGATAACGTGCAATGTTGCCAAAGACAAAGTCAAACAGTTTCTTATCCGATATTTTGTTCGTCATCACTGGCTGCAATTCTGCGTTCAATCGTTTCGCTTCAATATTGCAATGATAATTTTATTAGTTTTTCGTTCTATTTGCTCAGATTGGCATGGTAAAACGGTAACAGACTTCAACGCTTTTTCGAAGACATAACTAATATTCTTCGATTCTGTTTTGTCTCATCTTCATTTTATGTTCACATAAAGTGTACGATAATCATTAGTTTTCATTGCGTTTTTCCTTGCTTCTTTCATTCTATGCTCTCTCGCTCGCTCTCTTTCTCATCCCGCTCTTTTTCCTCATGAACGTTCTTCTTCTGCTTAATACATATCGAACAAATCTTTAGTAAAGCCAATACAGAATATATATTTCTCTGTATCTGATGCTGTCACTAACACGAACACATGCATATCATATATTTAGTTGCAAACTGCATACAGCTCAATAGTACTGCCAATATATTCACGTTTTTCATTGCTACTCAATTTAAAACAGCTCTGCAGGGAATTCGGTTTATACATAGGGAGTGAGAGAGAGAGAGAGAGAGAGAGAGACATAATCAACCGAACCCATAATATATATAGCATTTTCTCACTCGGAAATACTATTGAGAATATTTCATTTGCAGAGTGTGACTGCCAAAGCGAATATAAATTGGAAAAGATTATGCAATGGAATGCAATATAAATTCAAATTATTTTTTCCACAATGTGGCCGCAGCCAGCCAACGCATCCGTATCGTATATACACAGCGGCTGTAACTAAGCGAATGCACTAGCACGCGTTCTACAGTTAATTAATATTGAAAATCCAATTCACAAGTGACAAAATACGTTACTGAATTCAGATGTCGAAAGCGAAATACAACACCGTGGCTCTCTTGCTCTTTTGCTCTCTTGTCATCATCTACATCTCATATCTCATTTGGCATTGCTCTATCTGTCGCAAAAATTGATTGATTTTCCAAGCTCATTCATTTCCATTTAATCTCGTGATAATCAAAGTTTGTCGTTTGCAAAAAAGGGTACATACTTTTCGAAAATTGGCATGACGATTTCATTCAAGTAGAAATTGCACTCACCAATGATCTTTATGACAGTCAAAAGAGTAAACTTATTCACAAAATTTTAATTGGGAATTGAGCAGTTGTGGTGCATAAAAAACTAGATATATATATATACTTTATTCATATTTGCATACATTGCAATCTTTTCATTATGGGCAATGGGGAAGCGGTGCACTGTTTTTCATCCATTCCTGTTCGACACATTTTCGACATCGAAATTTCTTGATTTTCCGCACATTGTTATTTTAAACCGAATGCACTGCAAAAATCATTACAGACACACAGATAGAAAAAACAACAACTTTTAATTGGCGCCCCAAGAGAAACTCTCTTTCACTATTTTCTCTATTCGCTTTCAACTGTAATTTTGATTCGTTAGCATGCTATTTATGTGCGATAGTGGATCGAATAAGTATTCACAGTGGATTTATTAACTTGTGTTTTTCATATTTTCATTTTGGGTCGAAAACTACAAACCAACAAATTTTATGAACAACCACTGTTGTGAATAACTTACGAAATAGAACACTTTTCCGGATGCACATTTCAAACTCAGTATGGCATGAGACCGGAGTTTAAGGCGGTAAAAAGCGAGAAATTTTATCATCGGCGATGTGGGTGGAGTGAAGGTTGTATGGATGAACCAACGTCAGTGGTGATGGGTGGTGTATTGGTGATAATAACTGCAACTGACATGACAGTATACAAATGCAAAAACTTGTGTAAGCATTTGTTAGATTTAATCCGTAGTAAAGGTATTTTAATGAACAAGTTCAAAAATTTATGGACCAACTATTTCAATTCAGATCAAATGGAATCGAAAGTTTTTGATACCATCTAGACGAAATAAGGATCATAGACAGAGCTGTGATGAACGAAAATAAAACCTATTCGACGAATCAAGTTTAAACTGCAGAATTTTCAAGATAAAAAAAAGATGGCGGCGAAACACCCGCCATGCCCCGCATTGCAACTTCCCGAGAGAAAAGGTAGATTCACAGTGCTGCTGCTAATTAAACAATTTAATTTGTTGCGAACAGGTTTTTTGTTTCATTTCGTACGTATTTTATGTTTAAACTTCAGAACATGCTGCTCCATGGATACCGCGCGTACATGAAATCCATATTCGAAGTTTAATCAAATTACCATAAAGTCAATTAAATGAAACCGATGCCGGATTTACCACAGCCAAAAAAAAAAAAAAATCCGCCAACATTCTGCATGATACTTTATTTGGTTTATTTGATATTTTGGTGTAAATGAAGTAGACTGGTTTCATCATACCATACAGAGACACCCATTGTACACCTTCTACCGCAATGGCATGCGATCGATAAAATCATGACCAATGTTTAAAATTATAATTGAACATTCTATGTATATTAAATAAGCACTTACCCGACTGCGACTACGTCCACCTTGGTTATCGTACGGTCGTTGCGGTGACTGTAATAAACAACAAAATTTGTTTGTTTCGTTTTTATTAATAAATGAATATGAACATTATTAAAATTACCAACAATGTAACCAAATTAATATTTAAAATTCAATAATATTTTCGAACGAAAAATAGACGATTTTATAACTATATGTTTATTGGAATGGAAGACACAAAAAAGGATAACTCTACTACGACGCCGTTGATGAGAAAAAAACGAGCTGTCTAATTAAATGAATCACATCGAGAAAATATAGTGAATAAAAAAGTGAATTCGTTTTTCATAACTAGAAAATGCCATATAAATATAAAAAGAGTGTAAAAAAACACAAAAAACAAATATGTTTCGAGTAGTGTGTATGAGAGAGAGATAGAGAAAGGAAGAAAGGAGAAAAAAGTTTCGTCCGATAAATAAACATTTCGAAATGATTTGTGTGTCTAATGTATTTTGCCATTGAAGCTATCTATTGTCTCCTAAAAGTCGTGTCACTATGTATTAAATGATGGGGTTTGTGCTTTGTCTGTTTGTGTGGTATAGATTTTGTTGTTGAGGGGAGAGAAAATGGCTATAGTTTTCTTGTTTTTTTCTCTACTTTAGGATAAATCGACAGAAATTTTCAAAATTGTCGACACTTTTGATGTGCACAATTCCGCAAATAAAATTTAATGATGGTTGTGAGTAGGGTTGTTTCCACCTCCTGCTCTCTACCACCTCCCCTTCGATTTTATTAAATGAAATTGAAATTTTGTTATGGAATTTGTTTAGTTTTTTTTTTTGTTTCTTCTCTGTATATGTGATAAGAAAAAAAGGCATCATCAGCATGTAATAAATACACAATAGCTCTGTGAAAAGCACACAATGTTTTTAAATGCACAAACATATAAAAAGCTAAAGGCAATAATGCTACTGTATACGTATATATCACTCGAAAGCACCAGCACCAGCAAATTGCTGCGAATAAAAAACGAAGAGGGAGCGATAGAATAAAATAACACAAAACAATACGCATTAATGACGACGGTCCGGACAACAACAACCAACTTATCAATATGGAAACATCGTAACAAGGCTAATTTATTTTAATGCAGCCGAAGAGAGAGAGCGGAGGAGAGATACGGCATACAAATTCCAATTGTTGTGAATTCATCACAAAAATCAAACACAAGATAAAGTTTCATGGAATTTTTAATAAATGACGTTCATCGTTGTAACAAATGTTTTTCCACATCTTTTTTTTATCGATGAATTGTGATAAATTGTAGCAAAATTCGAACAAGCGAACCAATAACTATCGAAGATTTTGCAATTTTAAGCAAATTTCCGAAATATACTAATAACAAATTGTCAGAGATTGCAAATTTTATTATTATTTTGAATAAGCAAAAAATGCACATTGAAAAATAAACAAGTTAGCTGGAACTCGATGTTATGTCAGCGAGATAAGAGAGGGAGCTTTTTGAAATATCAGCGAATTTGCTTTGAACTCATTAGCATCGATGAAAGTCGGTGCCGTTCGTGTGTATTCTGAAAATTGTCACGGACACATTATACTGCCACTGTGTGTTATAAAGCGCTTTATGCGCTTGATACCGTATTCAAATTGAAATGAAACAAAAATACAACATGATCTAGTTTTCTAAATAGAAAAAGCGAAATATCGAGAGAAAAAAAATTGTTTCAATTTATGTGTTGAATAACGATTTTTAGGTTGCAAGTGCAAATGCATTCGAATGAAAGAGTGCTAATGAATAGATAGAATAAATAAAACATGCAAAATGGTGTATACAAAATTGAAGCCAAACAATCAGTAAAAAGTATACAAAATGATGTGATGGATTATAGAATGGTCTCTCAAAAACTCTTGTGCGCGCTGTATTTTGGTTATAAACATGGCAACATTACATAAATAAATCATATCGGCTGCTAAAATGAGAATACTATAAGCGAAATGTCCGTAAAAAGTGTGCACACTGTTGAATGGTTAAAAACTGTACATACAGTTGGACTCCGAATATTCAAATGCTTCGGTCATCCGGATTGCTGTATCCAATAATTCGAAGAAAATTGATGTTCAAAAAAATTGGTTAAATTTATCAGAGTACGACTGTGTATATCGTTTAACATACAAGCTAAAAAAATTGTGGATTAACTGTCAGTTTCATAAAATGCGTGGCTCCACGAAATGTGAATGAAATGTTCAGCGCGTGAAACGAAAATCATCATATTTTCGCAATTTTTATGAGTGTTTGTCGGCGCAAAACAAAAAAAAGTAAAAAATGGTTATTGATTGTAGCCAGCTCGGCAATACGTTCGCTGGCTCACATCTTCTTACTA